CTCAAAAGATAACATTTCAATTCCATCAATTATATCCCGCTCCTCCTTTCCTGTACTAACACGCTGTGGTAATGTAAAAATATAATCATCATCATCATAATCATAATCATCATCTTCATCGCCCTCTATTACAGGCCAGTTGTTTGGATCCAGCGTCACATACATGTTAGGGTCAGTGACATCAGGTGACTCTTGTGCAATATCACATCCAGCAAGTAAATCTCTACCAAAACTGTCAACCATAATTTCTGCACTTGAAACATTAGACTGACAACTAACACTCTTACCAGAAATATGACAATTATTCAACTTATATGTGCCATTAAAATTTGATTTCCCCAAAAAGCCAGGGAAGATCCTGTCACTTGAAGTTTCTGGTACCATAACACAGGACGTCTCTTTCTTGTTGCCTATTGTCGTGTTTGCGTAGGTCTTCAAATTAGACTCTGACATGTTTGAAATTTCTCTGCAGATGCTTTCATATTTCTTAACCTTTGCTCCTGTTGAACCAAGGCTGCATTTGTGACAGTCAACTTTCCTGTGATCCTCGTGTAATCTTACGACTACAACCTGTTTTTCATTTTCCTTGTTCTTTTTCATCCCCAGAGTGTTACTTTCATTTGAATCACAATCACATTTGGCAAACTCGGCACTCTGCGTCTGCATCACCATTTCATCCTTCTTCAATTCTTCATTTGGCATGTGCGATGCAATTTCATTACTGCAATTCGTTTTAGTTTCACATGTCTTAAATGTTTCTTTACAGCAACATGAACTAGAATCATCATCTTTATTCGAATTTCTTACTGCTGAATCCCCAGCATTTTCTGTTATACTACACTCCTTTTCATCTCCTCTTTTCTCCCAACAATTTGTTATGCTTGAAACTTGTTTTTGTTGCAAACTTGTACACCTTATTTGCTCAGTGGAAACTCTTTTCAGTTTCCCACATACACATCTCAAGCTTCGGACTTTAAAATTGTCAGAATCAATGCCCGATTTAAGACACACTGATGTACGATACTGTGCCTTGCTGTATTCATTACAAACAGAAGCATCTGAATCCTTCGCAGCTATTTTAGACACGTTATAAATTTTCTCTACGACCGATTTGGATTCTTCTTGTATACCTTTGGCAACATCACGAGCTGAATGATTATGACACAATTCTGTACAACCATTCTTTAAAGATTCCTTGCAGGTACTATAGTCCTTATTTGTTTCCGTGCATTGCTGTTTCAATGCAGCTTCTGACGAAGCAATTCCACTTCTCACATACCCTCCTACAGAATATGGTTTAGTTTTTACATACTTAGACTCGACTGAACCTATGGATTCTCGACTTGCATCTATACATTCCATAATGTCCGAGGTACCACCCTCTTTGTCTTGAGAGGGAGGCGAAAAATGAACTCCTTTACAAAGTGTATAACTAGGTTTCTGAGAAAATGTTCTGCTCCATTCTCTGTCTAAAACAGCAGAAGATGCTGAGCATTTACTCACATCATCACTGTCTGTACTGGTTCTAAATGTCTCACTTCCTGAAGTACTTACATCATCACCGCAGTGTCTTTCATGTACCGAGCTTGGACGCATGTTAGTATTTTCATCTTTCGGTATCAGGGCTCGAGGGCTTCTCCGCATTCGTTCGCTCGCTTTTCTCAGTTTGTCTCGTTCCTTCAGTCTTGCTTTACCCATTTTCATGTTTATAAAGAAATTGGAAACAGATTTTTCACTATCTTTACGCTCATAATCAGTTTCCACTCTATCCCCCGACTTCCTTCGTTTCATTGGATGGAGACCCACTGACTTACACAAAGGATGAACCTTCCTCTTAAGTTTTTCTGCTGAAATATATTCTTCATCACATTCAGATTCACTTGACTTATCAAATTCGCACTTCACTTCATCTTGCTTTTGTGGTGGGCTTGAAGCAATACTGACGACCCAAATATCCTGAACTGTTTTACCAGGAACGGATTTGTTCAGTTTAGTTCTTGTTATTATACCCTCTGGAAATAAATGTGGTGGACTGCTATCTTCATTCGGATCAGAAACGGGCACATCATCACAATAGGGCACAAGTTCTGGGGGCTTGTTGCGACTAGTGGGCGACAATCTTTTCTTCTCTGATTCATTTAATGATTTACTCTCCTCAGTGCTTTCTACAGCTGACCTGCCATCAACATTGTATGTATGAGATGGCATTCTTTGGATTTCTTTACTGACAACAGCAACATTTTTGAATAACTGCCTTGTTATCATTTTCTCGTCACATGGATCAGTGCTTCTGAGCTTGCTCATGGTCCTGTCGTCCTGATGTTGCAGAATGTTCTTCGAACTTGAACCTATACAAAGCAAAGTCAAGAACAGTTTACCTAAAATCTATCAATATGCTCCACCATGTTCATATAGTTGTGGGACTGCTAAATCAGATCTCATTTCTCAGTTTCAATATGCTAATTAATAAGGTAAGTAGATAGTATTTATACAAATAGTCAAGATTTGATATACTCATTTACCAAACTTCAGCATAACTAAATAACCTATCAGAAAGGCATAATCAAACTACATACCTTAATTATGACAAAATATACAGGGTGATTCAAAAGGTCAGGGCCAAACTGAAGGAGTGTATAGAGGGACTCAGAGAGAACAACTTTCGAATAGGAATCCATGTCCGCCGAAGTTATCCTGAGTCAGTCGAGGCCATTGAAGGTAGGAAAGTCTGATAACATACCGCTGAAATAATTTGGTTTGTAAGATTGCTAATGTAATCCTTGTACATTAATAAAAAACAAAATTAAGCTAGTAGGATAACAGCAAAGAACGATTATTTCAGCTGTATGTTATCAGACTTCCCTACCTTCAATGGCCTCGACTGACTCAGGATAACTTCGGAGGACATGGATTCCTCTTCGAAAGTTGCTCTTTCTGAGTCCCTCTATATGCTCCTTCAGTGTGGCCCTGACATTTTATATCACCCTGTATACTCCAGACATACTAACCCAAGTGATACATATATTTTGGACAGACAATTACACTTTGACACTAGTCATTTTTCACTGTAACATTTTACTAATTACACAATCTGCAATGGATGTTTTAGTATCTGGATACTATCTTATCGTGATGATGATATGACTAGGGACCAGTGCTCTACACCAAATACTAAACATGGTAAATAATTATCGTCCTTAAAAGAAACATTTAATTTTGAGAGGATGAATGATTGGTATGTTCATAAATTCTCAGGTCTTTTAACAACAAAATTCGACTAATACGTTTTTAAATTAGAAGGAAGTATAACGGAACAAGATTAATGTGTTTTAAAATACTTCTATTGCAAATGCAGTAAGGAACTGACTAAACCACATACATCAGCAAATAAAATCTGCCCCGTACATTGCTGCAGCAACCTTCAGAATCTTTCCAGAAAGAAGTCTGTAATGTCCCTGGCAGACAGCCTCCTTCATGCTCCTAGAAAATAAAAAATAAAATTATATACTCCTGAGAAATTCATCAGAGAAGACAAAATTTATACCATCTCTTCTAACACTTAGTTATGTGTTACTGTCAATGGAACATTAGACAAATGTGGATGCTGTTTACTCAATTAACTACGGTGTGAGTTAGTTAGTTACTGTAAGCGCGTGCATGTGTGCAGGAAGATAGGAGAATGAGCAAAATTACATGAGAAGCAACATAGTGAGGCTTCAGGTTCTCGCAGCAGCAAGTATGAACATGACAGCCTTCTGTGATACTGTGTTCCATGTAACCTCGATGATGGAGGCAGTATGCACCTCTGAGACATTGGTTAACTTCTATAAGACTACATGGTGCAATATCCTAGAAGCCTGTCATCTTCAGGAACTTCTCTCCCCCCCCCCCTCTTCATCTAATACGTCTATGCTGATTAAATTACGAAGGATTAGATGCCGGAGAATGCCGCACAAATGAAACAAGAAACACACATAAAATTTCTGAAGGACAACTACTTGAAAAACAAGAGAAGCGTATAAACTATCAATAAAGGGCAAAATCAGAAACAGATTCAAGGCAGTTGGAAACTGGGTGGCAGTTTAGCATAATCTCGGATTCATGAACAGCATTTATGGAAAGGATGAAGACTTCTACGTATATTGCAGTAAATCAATGATGATGATATCCTGGGTTTTGACACCACGCGGACTCATCGGTTGATTCCAACATTTCCGAGAAACATGATGTCTCAACCTTTAGGGCTGAAGACTCCGGCTAACAAGTCTACACAGCGACAAAACCAGGAAGAACAACATCATTATTCTGACCAAATTTCTTACTACATATCACTTCATAATATGAGATGCGGGTCCGCAGTGGCCGCGCGGTCTGAGGCATGGGCCTTGTGCCGCTTGGTCGTTGGGACCGTGGGTTCGAATCCCACTCAAGCCATGGATGTTTTTCTGTGTTGTGTTGTCCTGTGTACAGGTAGAGGCCTTGCGACAGGCCGATCCCTCGTCCAAGGAGTCCTACCGAATGTCTATAGATCAAGCCAACGAAAAGTTGGGACTTGCAGTGCTCAGGCACTTGAAGAACGGGTCATTCCCAGTATCACAGTAAATGAAATGGGCTAAATGTCCTCCTCAGACCATGTACAGACTTATAACATGACTTGCCAACAAAAAGTAATGTTTATTTTTGCTTCTTCTAACAAAAAGATCAGCACTCATTTACAGAGATGCAGCTCAAGCATAAAAATATAACTTGCAC